AAATATATTATTATACAGCATTAAATCTACTATACTTCGAGTTTTTCTAATACCAGCATAAAATCTGCTGTCAAACTGCAATGGCAAATAGTCTCTTTTGAAGAGAACACGAAAATTTAGACTGCTTTAGAACACAAAATAAAATCCAATTTTTGCAGCAGAATTAGTCAAGAAGGCATTTGTTTGTGAACTTAATACAGTCCTTTCTGAGTGAAGGACAAGGCAGATAAAATCAATGATTATTTAAAAAAAAAACAAATAAATAGATTTTTAAATTTAAATTGGATTTTTTTATTCTTTTTTATTTATACTAAATTTCACTCGTTTAAAAAATAAGCCCAATTAAATCTTATCATAAACATGCTAGACCTACACTTTCAGTCTTATAAAAATAAATTATTGACTCTAGTCTTTCTAGCTTAACTACCAGTTTGGTTCTTCAAGGTTCTGAACTTTTAATTTCTTGCCAGACTAAAATCACATATATGAAGAGAAACAAGTTGCATAGGATTGTTTTTGTTCTGAACATAAGAACGGCCATACTGGGTGAGACCAAAAGTCCAACTAGACAAGTATCCTGTCTGCCTGCAGTGGCAATGCCAGATGCCTCAAAGGGAGGGAATCGTAGAAGTAAATGCGTGGTTGAGCAGGTGGTGTTGGAAAGAGGGCTTTGGTTTCTTCGAACATTGGATTCTGTTCTGAGCACAATGATTGTTCAGAAGAGATGGGATCCAACCAAGAGAGTCTGGCAGTATTTAAAGAAGCCTTATTAAAGGCATAGGAAGAAACCATCCTGATGCACAGTAAGAAAAACAAATATGGTAGGCGACCAGATTGGCTTATAGGGAAATCCTTAGTGACTTCAACACAAAAAAGAAGCTTATAAGTAGAAGAAACTTGGACAGATGACTAGGCAGGAGTATAAATATATTGCTCAAGAATGAAGAGGAAGAATGCTCAGGAAGGCAAAAGCATAAGTGGAAATGAAGCTAGCATGGGATATGAAGGGTAACAAGAAAGGTTACTACAGGCATGTTAGCAATAGGAGGGTGATCAGAGAAGGTGTGAGACCCTTATTGGATGAGGGTGGTAACCTAGTGACATGATGTGGGAAAAGCTGAAGTACTCAATGCTTTCTTTGCCTCTGTCTTCACAGGCGAGGTTAGCTCCCAGACTACTGCACTAGTCAAGTCAGTACGGGAAGAAGGTGGGCAGCTCTTGGTGGAGAAAGAACAGGTTAAGAACTATTAAGAAAAGCTACACATACACAAATCCTTGGGTTCAGATTTAATGCAACCGAGGATACTGAGGGAGTTGGCAAAAGTCACTGCAGAACCTTTGGCCCTTATCTTTGAAAACTTGTGGAGATTGAGAGAGATCCCGGATGACAGGAAAAAGGCAAATGTAGTGCCCATCTTTAAAAAGGGGGAAAAGGACAATCCAGAGAACTATAGATCAGTCAACCTTACCTCAATCCCTGGAAAAATCATGAAGTGGAACCTCAAGAAATCCATTTTGAAGCACTTGGAAGAGGGGAAAGTGATCACGAATAGCCAACAAGGATTCATGAAGGGCAAGTCATGCCTGACCAATCTGATTAGCTTCTATGATGAGGCAGCTGGCTCTGTGGATATGGGAAAGTCAGTGGATGTGATATACCTTGACTTTAGTAAAACTGTTATAACAGTCTTCCACAATACTCTTGCCAGCAAGTTAAGGGAATATGGATGGGATAAATGCACAGTAAGATGGATAGAAATCTGGCTAGACTGTCGGTCCCAATGGATAGTGATCAATGGCTTGATGTCAGGTTGGTGATCAGTTTCTAGCGGAGTGCCCCAAGGATTTATTCTAAGACCAGTTTTTAATAATGACCTGGATGAGGGGATGGATTGCACCCTCAGCAAGTTTGCAAATTACACTAAGTTAGGGGGAGAGGTAAATACGCTGGAGGGCAGGGATAGGGTTCAGAGTGACCTGAACAGATTAGAGGATTGGGCCAAAAGAAATCTGATGAGTCCTACACTTGGGACGGAAGAATCCCAAGCATTGTTATAGGATGGTAGACTGACACTCAGAGTAAGTGTGCTGCTGGACCCATCTTTATACCCATAGGGGCCCGTATCCTCTTATCTAAGATGCCAAATTGTACTGGTCTGTCTTTGTGACGCCAGTTTTTATAAGCAAGTTTCCACTTAATTTACACTTGCAAGAGAGATAACTAAATTGTGAGTACTGGACATTTTTTTACTGGGCGAGAGATTCCTCCCCCCGTGGACGGCTGTGTGTTCGTATCAATATGGGTTTCAGTCAAGGGCACTCCTCTGCAGCCTCTTGGTCAGCAATTGGCGTATCTCTGTTTACAGCCATTCAGGGTCACAGCAGCCTGCATATCCGGGCCTTCTGTTCAAGGCTTTTACTGCTCTGTGTGCCCTGTATGCTTCAGGCAAGCAAAGATGGATGTTACAGGGGGGGTTCCTGTCTGGCTACAGCTGTCCACATGACACACACACACCTGAATTGGAATGAACATGAGTAATGCATCTCCAAAAACAACAGTTAGAAAAGATTAGTAACCATTTTGTATTTACTCTCTCCCTGCCTGGGTCCCTCATGGTTGATATTGTAAACCACAAAGAAAAGCAGGGACAGCCAGAAAAGGTCCTATATAATAAAGAGGCTAAGAAACTGGATCTGTTTGGTCGTAAGGTTTACTCAATGGAGGTGCCATGTTCACATATTGATTCAACAGGCTGCTGAGCTGGAGTGAGTACAACTCCTGGAACATATTATCTACATTACAGTTCTTCCGACTGAGTCTTAACAAGAGTTTGCTGCGGTCCTGGAAGAAGGCAGAATGGTAGCTCGTAATTCCCTCCAGGTGGCACTGGACTAAGCTGATTTGGTGATAAGAACCATAGCCACAGCTATTGTTATGTGA